AGCAAAGCACGTTTTTGAGCGTCGTTCGATACACCTTTCCCGGTCACATACAAACTGAACGCTCGCTTCCACTTCTTCCATCGCTGACTTAAATTGTGCGCCTCTCCTTTTGGATTAAATGGTTCCAATCCACTGACATCTAAAGTAACAGAAGTCATCCCAGAACCGCCAACAGCACCGCTCGTAGTACCGCTTGTCGCGTTAGTTTCGCCCGATCCACCGCCTCCCGGCATCGCTGAAATAAATCCTTGACGAAATCCTCGACGAAATCCACGGCGAGATTTTCAACGAAACTCTTGAAACCCTCGGCGAAATCCTCGAAATATCCTCGAAATATCCTCGAAATATCCTCGTCGCCAATGTAGTACCGCGGTTAGGTTAAAACACACTTTATTCACGACCGTTACTCTCCGAACTCAGAACGCTAACAGACTCGAATAAATTACAACACACGCTATCTATAGTACATGCAAATAACGTAATTCCCGTGTGTATCACATCACATTCATTCTCTCGCTTCTACGCGCTTGCATTAGCATCGTATACACTACAACAACGCCGTGTGATTTTAGATTTGACGAAAGGGATCAAGTTTTATTTAAAAAAAAGTTTGTTGCCTTGTTTTGGCTTTCGGAATCATAAAGGTGAAATGCTTCCCTTCAAGGCCTTCCAGAGTATGGGAAATCGCGGAAAAAGAGCTTTACACGTGAGAATTCTTTTGCAAATTAAATGTGCAGAACATTTAAACTTAATACATTTGTTCCAATGAATGGCGCTCGGTTTAGCTTGAAGTGGAGAGCTCATGCGTCGACAAAAAGGGAAACGCTGAAAATGGTGAGAGTATTTTACTGACAATACCGACTAAACGATGTTTAGCAAGTGACTCATCCAGCGCCCAATCGGTTAAGAATTCGCGCCATGTAGGGGTATCCGGATTCCAGAATGTTTTGCCTGTGGAATCCTAAATCCGAGAAATTTTGTTTGTGAAATCTGAAATCTTGGGCTTTTGAATCTGGAATACAGCTCAAGGAATCCCGAATCCCATTAACGACTGAAATCCAGAATCCAAGTTCCACTGACAAAGACTGGAATCCAGTACCTGGAACATGAGAAGACACAACTGGTTTGCACTGTAAGTATCAAGCCCGCTGGGCTAGTCTCTTTCGGGTGTGATAATCCGGTAGTTAATCTCATTTAATATGTCATAGGCCGACTGGCTCAAGTTATCAACACTCTCGATTTAGCATCAGGATAATATTACTATGTCAATTTTCGAATGTCATGTTCTTTTCTTTGCAGTTTCATATTTCAAACGCGCGTGATTCAGTAGCTGTAGAATGGCACCGAGGAAGGGTTTCTCGCCCTTCACTCGGGTCATCAGCCCCGAATTAAGTCCACAATTGAATTGGTACATTCTTTGTTCGAAAGTTTGTGGATCAACGCCGACACAATATTTTAAGCGGTCGCCTGTTGTCGCCAGTTTTCCAGGCGACTTTCAAAAAATCGACAGTGCCCACATTCGGTTGCAAGATGGCCGCCATTACTCTAACAAGAAGTCTTCAAATGCAACGGAAATTGTCTGTTCCTCGTTTGGGTTGATAACCACTTTGCTTCGCCGTTCTTCTTCGGAAAGCTCTGAGTTTATTTCACAGCTGAGAGATTTGCTGAACATAGTAGATCTCAGTAACATTTCTGTTGACGAAGAAAACGAAAGGGAAGCAAACAAACGACCACGTGCTTCACGGCGCTTGGAAATGCCAACGACACCAACGAACAAGACGTCGTCATCTGTGGCCATGACACCCCCAAACAGTGGAAACTCGCAAAGAGCTGAAGACACGAATGTTTCCCCAAATCTAAAAGAAATCAGCGAAAAAGAGGATTTGGATACTCCAGAGAAGGTGCTGTTGATGAAGCAGCGAAGCAGTCGCGTCATCAAGGACGTGCATGATGTGTGCGACAGAAACAGGGAAAGTTTGGCGATGGTACTTTCAAATATGTGCGCATTTGGCGACCCAGAAGCGAAGGCGATTGTCAATGAAATTGTCGAAGAGGTGGCTGTAAAAAGGGGAGTAAAGAGGAGTGTGGAAGAGCTAGTTGGCGATGATACAATGACAAAGTATGTGGAGTGCCTGAGAGTTCCTGATTGGAAGCTTGTCCTTTTCCAGGCAATGGCGAGAGTTTCTGCGAAAACGTGGCAATCCGTGATTAACATCACAGGGCTCGGAAGGTCGGGGGTAAGATGTTTAGCTACGGTAGTCTTGCGTAAAAAAAATGAACTATTCCACCGCAAGCCCCAATGTTTCAAGCGTCTTATTTCTTTTGTTTTATGCAGTTTTATTCCCCTAAGCGAAGCCTAGTATGAATGTTTATTAAAAGTGCTAGCAAATTAAGTTTTTAAAAGTTAGGATTTTTCCCGCTAAACAAGAGTCAGTGAACTGTAACGAGGATTACTTATTTGTATAAGCGGATGGCGGTCCTTCAACTGAAGTTATTAGTTGCACTAATGAGTGTCAAGTTTTCCTGGCTAGAATGTAATGATAGTTCTCTTAAGCTGCACCTTTTTGGGTATAATATATGTGAGCCCATGGTGGGCAGTCTTATGATTATACTTTGTTTTCCAGAGCAATTTGAGCCTTTGAGCCAGTGGTAAGCTCTTTTTCAGCTGGCGAAATAAGCTGGCAGCCTGCTCTTAGGGACAAACCCTGGGCCATTAACATATAAGGTCATCGCCCAACCTATTAATATGCCATGACACCAAGTGTAAGACGTTCATGTTCATGTTAAAATATTATCTCTAAAGTTTTTCTCCCCTGAAATTCTGCCGCTAGACACTGTTTAAACTGGTAGAGCTGTATTTATCAAGAATTCAAAACATATTTGAGGAAAATAAGCAGTGTTTTAACGGTAAAAGCCATACTTTAACTCATTTTGTCATTTCACCATGTTCAAAGTGATAAAAGTTTTTCATAAAATGGTTGCGAAGTTCCTTGCTGACTGTAGCAAATGTTATTGTTACATGTCAAAATTATGTTCAAGGGAAGAAACCTACAGAGGTTGATTCTCTTTTCCCTTTGTTTCCTGGTGCTAGTAGGAGGCAAAGGAAACAATGAATCAACCTAGATTTAAAAGTTTTATCTTTGCATTCTATCACTTGCTTTCTGTTATTTTCTTAGAAATCCTTTCACATGCCTCTTCTCCTCAACTTGAACCAGATCAAGGCAGCTAAGAAGGTGGTTTTTGGAGTTTGTAAAGAATATATGGGGGTTAAGAAGGTGGCTCCTCCTATACAAGGTTTCTCTGTAAATTTGAGTTCTGTTGTGGAGCTGATTGTAAGGGAGCAAAGGCTGCACCAACTGTCTTCACGTGCTTTGCGACTGATGATGAAGCTTGATGGGAGACCATTCTGGGGTAAAATTTTGGAATAATGCATGCTGTCTATACAGTTTTGTCTTTTAATTATTATTATTTTTTATAAAAGGTCATTCCCTACGCATGATGATCATCCACACACTTTTTTGTGTATGTGTTTCAAATCAACATAACTATGACTGTGAAATTTCTTTGGCCTTGTAAACAGTTCTTTGTGTAGAAGGTGGTTATTATAATAATTTGTATGATGAAATGGGTTGGTGAGGGGTGCAGTTTTTGTCTTGACTAATTTAGTGCAAAAAATTGTTTTGCAGGTAGAGCTCAGGTGTTGTTTGGAATTGTTCCTCGTGACGGTGCTGTATATAGCCAGCAAAGTGCAAAATCAGTCTACCCATTGACAATTGCCAACTGTAAAGAAAACAGGTCAGTGAATTGCAACTTGCTTGAACTCTTTACTACCTTTGGTTAGAATGTGCTTGTGGTTGTATGTGCATTTAACTTAAATATAATGACAGATTTTTGTAAGCCCCACTCAGTCAATACAACAACATTATTAGGTCATGCATCCACACTGAGATCAGTCTAAATGGATCGATATCAATATCCCCAATTTGTCATAAATGCACTAAATTGAACAATGACCATAGATTTTCAATTTTTGTTTGTTGACAGAGACAACCTCAAGATTCTTCTAGAGGATATCAACCATCAGAAGAAAATATTAAAGGAACAAGGAATCACTATTGATGGTACACATTACTCTGTTGAATTTCTTGGTAAGAATCAGTCTTAGTCTTGGAATTTGTTTTAAAAGTAAACTTCTTATTCATATGATACTTTTTACAGCAATTTATTGTGCTTCTACCCAATTGGTAGTGTGACTAGAACTAGATAGAAGCAACAGTCAAACTTAAGTAAATTAAGAGTTTTCTTATGTAGTAAAACATGTTCAAAATTAAACTTCAGCAGCAAGAAATAAAACCTGGAATTTATTATTATTGTATGTCAGTAATTGATTTGAGCACCTTTTTATTTTGATGCAGGGGAGATTAATTTTCCTGAAAGTTTAGTATATATTTTACCTTTTGCTTTCCCATTTCTGTTATATAACTTAGTGGTATTGGACTACAAGACGTTGGTACTTCTTTTGGTGAAGAAGATGAATGCGGCATTCATGTTAGGTGGCAGAGGTGTCAGTGTTGAGTTCTGTTTCATCTGTAATGCTATCAGGGTAAAGTACTCAAATAATGTAGAAATTAGTATATGGCAACCGCAACTTGTGCTGTTAATGTCGAGGTACATAAAAGTGTTGCCTCAGTTAATCAACTTTTTTTACACCAATTTCAGATGACTTTGATCTTTGCCAATATTTGGGAAAATAGTTAGCGAGTGATCGAAACATCAAACAGGTTTAATTCAGCCAAAACCTTTTAATGCTGTACAGTACTTATTTAAAGGTCATTCTGCCTTAAAATCACTGAAATTGTGCATACATGTACTGTAAAAAGAATAGGGTTCGTACAGAGACATGAATTCTTGAAAAAGTCTTCATTTTCCAGACCTGGAAAAAGTCTTACTATTGGTGATAAAGTCTACAAAAATAATTCAAAGTCCAAAGTTTTTTTATAGCTACAAAAAGTGCGTAATAAGTGATTTTTTTCCCCTGTGGTCAAGTCAATTTCACCTGTAGCTAAGACATTTAATCACAGAATGAGAAGTTTCATAATTTTCTTATGTCTACATTGCACCATGGTTACTGTACGTTTGCAGTGCATGATGAAAATAGCTTTGTTCCCACGTTTTTCAAGTTCTCTATTGATCACCTATTTGATAACCTTCAGTCTGGAAAAATGAATTCATGTTTTGGAAAAAAGTCTGAAAAAAGTCTTGAAATCTGTATGAACTCTGACCAAGATAATGTGAAGCATGACAAATGTGTTATTCTATCTGAAATTGTAAATTTTTCTAACTTATTTCAACACATTATGTACTATCATTCAGTTTGATTAGTGTAGCTGTTTTCTTTCAGGGTTGCAAATGTCATGATGTTGCTCCAGATGAGACATGTCTAGATTGCCTCAGAAGCAAATGCAATATAGGAAGGTATGTAGGCATTTTGATCATTGTCATATTTAATTACATTCAAAAACATAAAGGGGATTTTCTTACCTGTACATAACAAAATGAATTTTCTAGCTCATGGTTAAATGACTTATACAAAATCATGAATTGAAATTAAGTGAATGGTTTGGGTCTTTGTAATTGTTGCTAGTAAACTGAAATCCTCATTCACGATCTTAAGCCAAACTTTCAAGGTTGCCAGAAATTGTCGTCATACTGTCAGGAAACATTTTTAAAGAAAAACATGACCTAATTCACTGCTTCAGAAAATCAATCATTCTTTGAAATTGCCTTGTAGATCAACTGGGATACGAGATGACCTCGTTTTTCTTTTGGATGAAGAGCTCTGCAATGTTCAACTTTGTGCTCTCCATATGGAGATGCGCAACACTGAACAGTTGTTGGCATCCATTGGTCTTCTTGCACACAAGGTGGATTCCTTAGCAGAGGCCAATGCTGCCCTGAAAAACTATGGCCCAGAGTCATTTCATGGTGATCGAATCTCAGTAAAGAAGAAATCAGATCAACAGTCTGCTATTACAAAGCAGAATATCCATGTCAGTTCAATGTCTGGTAAGACATTTTCTTGAAGAGATGTTTTCCATATGTGTTCTGTAAAATATTTTTTTTTAATTTGCTCTCATGCTGTTGTGTTTCAGGTCCAACTGAACGGGAAATCCTCCAGCACCTTGAAGAAATTGTAGAACTTGCACTACCGTTGGATAAATTCAAGAAGCCGTACAAAGATGTGAACACGGCCAAAAATTTGATCTTGAACAGAGTTACATTTTGCCAGGCTCGTGTTGATGTTAGTAAGAATTAATCGACTATTATTGTTATACTTGCAAATTGATTTAACATCATATGGTCAAGTTCACTGGTAATATGTATTCATTGAGTTCATACAGCGTCCAGACGATCCGTCGGAGTGCGCTTTAGGAATCAAATACCTCTGTGAGTATTTCTTTAATTGCTACAGTCTCCTATGTAACTGAATTTTGTTTTAGTTAGTTAGAGCTAACTAACATAGGCTGCACTTTAGGTGGCACACCCATGGGTGCAGTGTAACCCAGTGTTTTGTTTAGAAAGAGCTAACTAACATAGGCTGCACTTTAGGTGGCACACCCATGGGTGCAGTGTAACCCAGTGTTTTGTTTAGAAAGAGCTAACTAACATAGGCTGCACTTTAGGTGGCACACCCATGGGTGCAGTGTAACCCAGTGTTTTGTTTAGAAAGAGCTAACTAACATAGGCTGCACTTTAGGTGGCACACCCATGGGTGCAGTGTAACGCAGTGTGTTGTTTAGAAAGAGCTAACTAACATAGGCTGCACTTTAGGTGGCACACCCATGGGTGCAGTGTAACCCAGTGTGTTGTTTAGGAAGAGCTAACTAACATAGGCTGCACTTTAGGTGGCACACCCATGGGTGCAGTGTAACCCAGTGTTTTGACATTTCTTTGTAGCATGTTAGCACCTATTTATGTAATTAATGCATTAAATTTTTTCCAAATGTTTAGTATTTTGCAGAAGCTTTAAGCAAGGGCACCTTTGTTAGAGATTTTGGTACTCACACTGAGATAATTGATTTGGAAGGCTCAGGTTCGTAGAGTGACAGTAGTATTGATACTTTGTTTGTTCTTTGGTTACAAGTTCTGATTTTTTTCTCTTATGGACTAAAGAAGGTTACCATACTATAATATAACTTTTTGAGTGTCTTATATGCTTATACGGAAGGGAAAAAAAAAACATTAGGCACTGCTTGATTTTGGACAATATTAAAATAAGAAAAGGAGCTTTTTGTTTTTAATTCCTCAAAAACATTTACTTAATGACAACAAATAGCTTTTACTTGCAACAGTTATTTGAATGGTATGATAACATAAAGGGCCTCTAATTACAGTCTTTCTCAGGTCTTATTTCAGTTTTTGGCTGTTTTGCAGATGTTAAAGCTGACATGGAATCTCGCCTTGTTCAGTGGCAGAGCAAGTTGGATGAGCTAGATGTCTTTTTCAAGAAGCTGTGCAAGTCACGTAAAAAGTCATTATTCAAAGAAGAGGATGCACTTGTGACCTCTGTTGCAAACATACAACTGGAATTGGTGAAAAGGGTAATTGTTGATCTTACCGACTGGAAGCTAATTTGAGTTATCTGTGAGTTATTGTAATGTAATTGCTTTTTATTAGTGTAATAATTGTTAATTGTTTGTAAATCACTGCCAAACACATCAATTGATTATTAAAGGTATACTGCTTCTCATTGAAATGGAGTGTCGCTGAGTCTTAGTCAAAGACTTATTTGTCTTAATACATTCTTAGTAATTTTAACCTATTGTATAAACATTAAATTCTAGGTGTGCAGGGAATGGAAGGAAATTGCCCTGATAACACGTGAAAAAGTGTTTAAAGAGACAGAACAAGGAGAGATTGACCTCTTTGATGTCAAGGTAAAATTATGTTTATTTATAACCTTGCTTCAATTTTTATTATTAGTCTTGCATTTTTATCTCTTACTTTTTCAACTAACAGCAGTGTCTATTTTTAAGGGTTTTTATTAGAAATATTAGCAAACACAGGAATGAGTTCTAGGAAGAAAATAATGTCCATTATAACCATTTTATTTTAAGATTTATTTAAAGTATAGTTTGTATTTGTTCAGTTATTGATCATCCTGCTGCGGGCACCTTCCACCCTGAACTTTTTTATCTGCCCGCTCTATTTTAACCAGCTAGTCCCCACATATTTTGTTGCAGTTAGTTAAGCAAGCTAAATTAAAAACTAAAATACATATCTTATTTTAAATATTTTTATGTAGTGCAAAGAATGGGGTTTCTTGTTAAGAGAACTATTTGGGAGCAGTCTTGGAATCGGCGATTATGGACATCTTTTGATTGATCATGCACCCATGCTCATGAGATGCTTTCTGTCCATGAGAGAATTTAGTCAGCAAGGATTTGAGGCTTCCCACAAGGACCAACGCCAGCTTTGGATGAAAGCCTCAAGCCATGATCGCCATGGAGAAGCGTCCTCAAGTGAGTTAGCCATGGCAAACATAATTTAACTTTGGCTAGTAATGTCTGTGAAGCAGCACTGAGGTCATTGTTCTTGACCCCAAACGGAGTCCAGAGCAAGGATTTCGGCACTGTTTCACGGACAGACTTAACCAGAGTTTAATTTCATCTGTGGCGCAGACTACAAATGAGTTGGCCTTAAAAGAAATTTCCAGTTAGCAAACTGTTCATAACACTACAATTTTAAAATCAAGTGTAATTAAATTACAGTACTAGCTTTTTTAGTCTTTTAATAATCTCAATTAAAATGGTAATAATATGTCCTCCTTAGTTCTTTCCCTGTATGATCTGTTACATTGCAGTTGAGCAAATGCTGGTACATTTCTATACTGAGAGAATGTTGTTCCTGCGCCTTTGTCTCCGAGAATCAATAAAATCAATTGAAGGTAACTTGTTAGCTTAATGCTTAATTGGCAATGAATTGGATTGCTTGTTTCAATGCTGTGCTTTGCAACCATTGGATCCTGGCACCTTATTTTTTCTCTTTGGTGATTACACTTTGGATTTCACACGTTGAAAGCAATGGGCTCTCTTTCATTTTTCTTAGAGCACAGCCTTGGCGATGTATTTGACGTAATTAATACATAAGTGAGGTCTTTGGTGCCTTCGCCTTTCATAATTGTGAAATGGAGCAGTGTAGGAGCAGTATTTTGAGTTAATGGCCTTGAATACTGCTTAAAACAATATTTAAGTTTTTGCATACCAGAGTTCGTCTAAAGAGCTGAGATGGCCTTTCCTCTTGATATATTATTTTCTTTTCTACTGTTTGCATATATACAATCGTCATGTTCATATAGTTTGTGAATCGGTTACTATTATATATTCTCTTTCAATACCCACTCATGTTAGTAAAGAGATGGAACATCAAGAAAAGTTTAAATTTATATTTCAGCAAAGAACGGTAAACAGGATGACAGTTACACCTTCTATTTTGCTGGTTGTGGGTGGAAGTCAAAGGAAGTTTTCTGGAGCCCTGAAGACATCCAATGGATCAAGGTCATGGACCATCTCATGACACTGATGTTTGGGCAGGATTTTTTTGAGTACACCCTTGATGCAAAAAAGACATGTCACGTGCGGGATGATTTCCAGCCCAAATTCAAGTACAGCAGAGAAGAATGGCTATGTGAATATGCAGACATGTTAACTGGCATTGACAATGTGATCTCAGTTGAGAATGGTATGTGTCCTTGATGAAGGTAAAAAGTATTTTTTTGAAAAATCAAACTGTGCACCTGCACCTTTAACTAGAAACGCTTGTTACTTTTAAATGCAATATCATAGATTATATTTTATAAGGAGTTTTTTTTCCTTTCCCTGGGGAATGTCTACTTGGATATGTTACAGTTTAAATTTGATTTGAGGTTAATTTTGATTTAACCTAGGTTGATTCTCAATTTTCTTTGTTTCCTAACCCTAATTCATGAGAAATTAGTGCTAAGAGACAAAGGAAATTGAGAATCGACCTAGCTTTAAAAAATTTAACCTTAAATCAAATTTAACCTGTAACATATATCTTAATGATATTTTGTTATGTAATTTCTTGTATCAGTGTATAAATTAGGCAGTTAGGTCCCTTTTTAAGCTTTAGATCTTTGTTGTTTTTTATATTACATAGTTAGGAGATTTTAGCACCATGTGCTTCTCTTCAATCTGAAATAAAATAAAGTTATGTATGTATGCATGTATACATGTATGCATGTATGTATATGTACTAATTTTTGACTTGGTTGTTATATTAATATTATTAGTATTAGTATTATCTGTCTTACTTTTTGAGAACCCCCCAAAAACAGTCAAGAAATCATTACAAGTACCATAATATTTTACTTTTGATGTTTCAGATGGCATTGATATGCAAACATCTTGTATACCATCAGAACTAGAAAGGAAACAATCTGTCGTACATGAAGATGTGGCTGTTTCTCAAGAAGTGAAACACGTTTCAACCTGTGAACAGAAAGTGACTTTTTGTGATGAAGAATTGCCAAACATTGCCGCTGGTCAGGACAGGTATAACAGGTTTTTCTGCATTGTTAACTTTGACTTCTTAAATCCATCCATATAGTCAGGACGTGTTATGCTTAGGCATCCTTGTTGTTATCTTGTCTGTATTTTTTTATTTACTTTAAATCATCTGACTTTAGGCATTATTTGCAACCTAGTCCTGTCAGATTTAAACATTTTACTCCTTCGAAATCTGCTATTGATGATGCGAGAGAAATTCGAGTGTCAAAAACATAGTTATGAACTGTCATGTTAATAGTTTGGTGTCTATTGATATGTGATACGCTTGCAAAACACACGCCATTTTTACATTATTATATCACATGGAAGACCAATTCAAATAGTGCATCTCAGCACTCATTGTTTTATATTTGTGTCTTTGTTTGTTTTGATAAGTTCCGATTATATTGTTTTCCATTTCTGTTGTTGGTAAAGGAAATAACACTCAAATTATCATTTTTTAATTAATTATGTTGTATTACTTCTTATCTTTAGAGTCATAGCTGTGTTTCCACCACCACCGGCAGTGGGCAAGATACAGATTTTGAAGATGGATCTTGAAACTTTAGAGGACGGAAAAGAAGTCAATGATTCTGTGGTGGATTTGTTTTTGATGTAAGAGTAACTTGAAGCTCAAGGCTAATAGATACATCATCCTGATTTCTACACTTGTACTCATGAAAATCAGTAGTTTATGGCATCATTTCTAAAATCAACCTTTTGTTATTTTATGATTAACAAGACAGTGACTGGCTTTCTGTTTAGAGTGGAACCTCACTATTGCAAAGGGCCAATGGACTGGCAAAATTTGTTTGCTGTAACGAGGTTTTATTATATTTAGGTTCTTTTGCATATACTGTAAAATTCTGAAAATAAGCCCCTCCGTATATAAGCCCCCCAAACTTGGAACACAAAAAACCCCCTGTTAAATCGCCTCTCCAAATGTAAGCCCCCGGGGGCTTGTACGTGGAATTTGCCCTCAAATACAAAGTAAAACAAAGCAAAAACAGTAATTTCTTTCCAACTGTAAGCTAACCCAATCGTTTTGAAACACAAATTTCCTTCATAGATAACCCCCTAAGAACATAAGCCCCCCAAAAATAAGCCCCTCAAAAAAAGGGCCTTTGAAAAATATAAGCCCCAGGGCTTATTTTCGGAATTTTATGGTATTTTAAATTTTAATGAGGTAAAGAAAATTGTTTGTTATATCGAGAGGTTCCACTGCAGTACTTGAAAATATTATTAACCTACTGGCTATCGATCAATATTGACAGAATTTTTCTCTTAAGGTATGCTGCATCTAAACTGGATGAAGAACTGTTCAACAAGTGCCACATATTCAGTTCCTTTTTCTTTTCCAAGCTGTCTCAGAGAGTTAAGATAGGAGGAGTCTCTGCTTTACCATGGTAAATGTGTACCATATCCTCATATTTCTTAAAGAGTAATTAGTCAGCTTTAAAATTTTAAGGGCTTAGTCACAGCTCACCATTGCTTTCACTGCAAAATCAGAGCTTCTTGGCCAATAAATATGTTTCCCATGCATTGTTTCAAACGTTAAATTTCGTTTGTGTTTTCTTTATAAACTGTTACACTTCCATCACTGCGATTTCTAAAATCACAATCTTGTTTCATTTTCTCTATAGTCCCGAGGACCGGCATGCAAGTGCTTCAAGATTTACGAGAAATGTGGACATTTTCCAAAAGATGTTCCTCTTCATACCTGTCTGTAGAAGGTATTTTCTACAATTTATTAATGTTTGCAGTTAGTGGTGGATGCTCAGTTGTTGTTTCTCTAATCTGATAGTTAGGCAATTTAATCCAGGAAGCCATTGAATTATATATATGTAAGGATGAACTTAATAATTTTCAGGTGATGATAGGCAATGACTCCCATAAGTTTGCCAGAAATGTACAAATGGTGTTTGGTCTGGATACTCAGTAAATTATTGTGTTTAAAGTTTTTGTTTTTAGCCAGTTACATTGTCAGACTCCCTTTCTCCTTTTTGACTTTTATTAAAATATACAGTCAAAGCCCACTTCTCTTTATTACGGACAGTTTGCTTTGTCCCTAGGGAAAGAAAGCCCCAACATTTTCTTTACACTTCGTTAATATGGACACTTTTTATGGCCCCCTCAATGCCTTTATTAGCAGGGTTTGACCCTGTTATCACCTCTTTTCATTTTAGCGGACACTGGTTCTTGGCACTAATCTATAACCTACCCTTTTTGGTTGGAAAAGCACAAATGGATAAGAATTCGTCGCGAAGGTGTGTAGTTGAATTGCTTGTTGATGATTAGATACCTTATAGCAGATAACTCACTTGACTTCCTATAGCTGTTAACCGAATGGAGTGTCAGAAAAAAATATTCTGTTCTAAATTTGCAGTTTCAAAGTATTGTCTTTATTTGTCATTGATATTTGCAGGGCTCCAATCATAATGATTGACTCAATCGTCTATGGCTCAGAGGATGGATTTTATGACTGTCCTTCATCAAGAGAACAAGAGGCAGACCTCATTCGCAGGTAACTTAGTTAATTGCAGTGATAGTTGGTGAAACGTTTGTTATACCCGTTTTGTTTCCAATACAATTTTTATTGCGGCCATATTTTTTAAGGCTAAACCTGCTATTCTGATTTGTTCGCAGTTTCGTAAGATGCGAATGGTTGGCTAAGGGAGAGAGTTCTTCTCCTGACTTCACTCCTGAATCGATGCCCCTATACTACCCCAAGGTAAGACGTTAATCCAGTGATCAGAACATCCCTATCTCGGAAGTATTTTTCTAGTTCTTTGTTGTGCATTGATGAGACAGATTGCTCGTGAAAGAATTAACACGGAATCCACCAGAAAATTGAGTAATTTTAATTTTCAGTGGACAAAAACCTTGTACCAGAATAATTTAAAGAATATTGTATTCTTGTTTACATTTTTCAAGGGCTAAAGATGTAATTAGTCATCTATAGTAACACCAGAGAAAATTTCTGATGGGAGCCCGAGAAAATGAATGTAAAATTTCACAAAATTGCATCTTACACATGAAATTTTCAGAATTTTACCTGTATTTTCACAATTCTTGTGAAATTTGACATTCATTTTCTCGGATCCCCATGGGAAATTTTCTTTGGTGTTATTAGAGATGACTAAATACATCTTCAGCCCTTGGAAAATGTAAAAAAAGAATGCAATGTTCGTTAAATTATTCTGGTACAAGGTTTTTATCGATTGTGAGGTGAAGAGGGGACGATGATGATGGTTTTAGGTAGCTATCTTTCCAGTCAAATTGACGTCTTTAAAAATGTTTGGTCCCACAGGTGCCGCAACAAGAAAACGGTTACGACTGTGGAGTATTTGTTATGCTGTTTTTTGAGACTTTTTTAAATCGAAAGGTAAGTCTAACTTTCTCTGTATCTAACACTATGAAACTGTTGACTGAGAAATACATTATCTCTCTCTTTCAGGCAGAATTGCCAAAGCTGATTTGCTGATACAAAGCGATTTTATTTCCTTACTCTTTTAAACATTTTGGCGACCAGTATTTGTTTTGTTTTTGGGCCAAGAGTTTTTTTAGTGACTTGCGTTGATGAAAAAAATCCATTCAGTTGATTGCACAGTGAAGTAAGATTTTACAAAAGAATGTCCCCTAATAAATTTTTGCCTTAAAGTGGGATTAGTCATGATGGGCATCACTATTTTTGCTTGGCTCCAATGTTGGACAGTCTGACTTCTCTTCTGGTCTGACTAAAACCGTAACAGTTAATTGTTGTTTCTCTTTTAGTGTCCTGTGAGAGACCTACTGTCAGGCCAAATCCTACCGTGGTATGATCAAAGTGCAGCTTTGCCGATGCGGGAAAGAATGACAGATCTCATTCTAGGATTGGGAAATAGTCTTAGTTCCGATTAGGTTGCTTAAATAAATGTAAATAGTTCAGGGTGAATCCTCTTTTACATTTCTGAAGCCTAATGACAGTGTTAGAGACGCTCTTTGCTAATAGAAGGCTGCGACGAGCTTTAAACAGGCAGCGTGGTTTGCTGACTAACATTCCAGGATTTAAGTTATTTTCTCTTGTCGATTTGGTTGTTTCCATATAAGTCGTTTTCATACAGACTTAAGCAGTGAAAGTCAAACTACACAACAATTTCTACTAAGTACACTACGCGAAACCAACCGGTGAGCATTTTCTAATGAACATTTTGCGAACATAAACGTAAAGGTTCGGAAAAACGGGCAACAAAAAACGTGCAACTTGTCTTGCAACATTGCTGCAAAACGAGTTGTATGGCGATGTTGCAGCAATGTTGCAAAACAAGTTGCACGTTTTTTGTTGGCCGTTTTTCCGAACCTTAAGGCATTCAGCGATCCTTGATTTATGAACTTGGAGTGAACGAATTTATCGATCGAACGCAGTACATTCAGAATACCCGGCCACTTGTCGAAACGCTTTTAAACGAAGCATAGACACAAAAATGTCTTTGTTTTTTTAACGAAATGCAAACAAGTGGCAGGGTGTTCAGTGACCTAGTCGAATTATAAGACCAGAGTTAAAAATTTCCAGTTATTATTCAATATTTATTGATCATAAACACGGTCTAGTATGCGTCCTTGCTTTAGGAACCTTAATAGTAAATAAGAACAGAGTGTAACAGTGTACAGTAAACCTTAATAACAAAGCGAGGATCTTAGAGTCCCTGTATATATACGACGTAACAATGATTATATAGAAATTAGAAATTCAAGCGTAAAGGGAACGCAACATCTCTTTTCAATACCTTGCACCTACTTGCTCAACCTTTGAAATGTTGTAAAGAATGTAACTATATTTGTGAAGTCTTCCTCTAAAAAATACAATTATTATTCAATATTGATCATAAGCGTCTATGCGTCCCTGCTCTAACAGTCTACAGTAAACCCTTATAGCAAAGCGATGGATCTTAGGGTCTCTGTATGTATACCACGTAACAGTGTTTAAAGAAATTAGAAATTCAAATGCAGAACGAACGCAACATCTCTTTCAAATACATTGCACCTACTTGTTCAACTTTTGAAAGACTGAAATAAATGTAACTATAATGAAGTCTTACTCACAAAAAATCGAAAAGTAAGTTTGCCGTACTCTGAACAACGTGAGTAAAGACTCGGCCACCATATCAGTTCTAATTCCCTTGTACAGCGTCCCTCACCTGGACCAATATCTAGGTACGAGCGGCTTGTCGGTCTTGAGTCCTGCTTTCTGGCTCTTGCTTTTGCATAAGCTAGTGCCTCTTCTGCTGGCATTTCGGACACATCAGGCACTTCATCGCTATTTCTGAATAAGGCTCTTGGCCGAAATTGCAGCAGGTCTTGCTCTTCCAACACTAGCTTTAAGGTTTCCTCATTGAAAATTTTATATGAAAAACGCCGCGCTATTCTCTTGAAAATCGGTTGACGGATGTGGGGAGCATCGCGTACGCTGTCCACCATAGGGTTTCCCAAACGATAAAGCAAATGAGCGAAGTACTTCTGTGGCACTTGAAGGCAGTCAACACGGCACCATTTTCCTTTCGATGAAAAAAAGTTCGGTGTAAGTAAGTGCGTAAGTCCAAGCACACCAAAATAAAGAACACATTGCGGGATTGAGCATTTACCTGGGTGATCCGGTACCAGTGATCCGTTAATTCGCTCCACAAGAACCCCAAGCCATTTGAGATAATCTTCCATTTCTTCGTCAGAAAGTGCTGCTGCTTTTGGCTGTTCACATGGACTGTTTGATTCGTCCAAAAATTGCACTATCCCGAGATTCCTTTCCTGGTGTTTCAATCCGAAATGTTTTTTCAATGAAACACCTGTTTTAAACTTCTTTGTACACAGTTGACAGGGAACTGCAAAAGGCATTTTTTTCTCGCAAGGTCAACACAGTTGTCTAGTAGCTTAGCAATGATCGAGTTCCTCTGCAAATGCGTGCGGGCCGAAAGTCAATGAACTTTCTCACTTCTTCGAGTTCTCCTTAGTTAAACAAATTGAAACAATGCACTCAATCAATGACGCGTGACTGGCAAGCTTGACAAAAAAAACCGCTATTGTCGCAAACAATAGATCCCTTTTACTAGCAAATGTGAGAAGAAACTAAGTCTCATTAGCCAACCTATTTTTCAAAGAGAAAAGCGATTGACTACGAATCTACTGTGAACTGAGATCGGTAGACTCTTGCCCTCAAGTTATTGCATCGGATCTCAGCATTATAAGATGTCAAAGTTTAGAAAACATACTGTCGAGGAAATGCGAAGAAGATCAAAAATGAGGAAACTGAGAAAAAAGTTCAAACGGAACAGCGTGAAAGTTATTGGTCACCCATCTGTAATTGACATACCCGAGGAAGTCAGCAAAGGAACAGCGAACTTTAAAAGGGAATGTGTCAGTGAAGAAGGAAGTATAAACTATATCGAGGAGGACAAAATCGATCGTTCTCTCGACGGCAATTCTCATTAATGAACTCGGAACTGTTGCATGATCTTTGGAAGATGTTAGCGTGGATTCCCGGGCGTGGATTACAAGAACAACAGCGGCATTTCGTCATGTTTTTGGGTTCGTTATATCGATGTTCACATAGGGTTGTGACTAAGAAATGTTTGGCTTTTAGAGTCTAAACGAACAACAAGAAGATAATTTTATTCAGTATTATCAGCTGGGCTGGAATTTTGTGCTACAACATCGAGCAGCTCCCAAGCCAAACCGTTAGAAGGGGGAAGTTTTACAGTTCCGTTAACCGCGAAGTTTGCTTCTGATGTTGCTCCAAATGTTTTTTTTTCTCACCGTTTTGACCTTTTGTAAAACAGATGCAGTGCTTAGAGCGTGCTTTAAGGCTTCATGGTATGTTTGTCTTCGTTTTCACTTCGGCTATCAACTTTGTTTTTCCTGCGTTAGATATGCTTTTTTTTTCATTCCACTGCAGCTTGACTGTTTCTTCACCGCTACTCCTCTTGCATTACATTTATTTAAATGAGCAATTGTTAGACAGAAAATGTCCTTTTTTGAATAATATGGCGAAATAAAACAATTTACACAGGGATATAATGATACTTTTTGGTAGCAAATATTTTATTTTTGACCAGCACTATTATGCCTAATTTTGTTTACCCTCCTAATTGAAAAGCGGACAAAATTCAGGGTCCGATTTTGAGACGACATAACAGCTTTACAGCGATTGCCGAGAAACTGAATGTGCGACGGAATTACACCCAATTACGAGAGATTTTCTCCCATCCAGCAGTCATTAGAAAGCCGTTTTGTCATACTTTAAGGGTAATAAATTGATAAAAAAATTATTTTAAATTATCCTGTTGTCAATAGGTTCTTATGCACGTAAGCTGGGTCATAAACTTTTTCTTCGAGGCCGAATCATGGGGAAAAACTTGTCCTTCATTTTTAATAAGGACTTACCTTCCAGTACTCCGTAACAAAAACCCCGCTGACATTGTAATAACTAAACTTTCAATGAAACTATTATCCGATATTAGGTCTGCTGACTTGGAAAATACTACACCTAAAATTTAACTTCAGCAATCTTACGAGAGAAAACATCAAGGCTAGGTCTCTCTGACGGCTTATCTCTTGTTGACATTTTAACTAACTCTCGGACCCTCTCATAAAAACCCAACATAGACGATATCGCCTTAAGCATTCTTCCCAATGAAAAAATGTCACTGGCAACGCTGTAGAGTCGTTCACTTACAACCTCAGGGGCTAAATAGCTTTTCCCTTTGCATTTCATAGCGGTGCCGTTTCTGCGGTACAACGTAACAGATGAAGCCTTAAGGCTCTTTCCAAAGTCAATGAGAACTGGCCTGAATTCCTCAGAGACTGAGGGCCGTTCTAGTACTACATTGTTTCCTTTTATGTCATTATGAAGGTATCCTTTAGAATGCACGTGGCCTAAAGCGCTACATATCTTTTTAAATACAGAAATACAGTTTGCTTTAGTAACTACGTTGTTATCGGCCGCTTGATGGAGAGTTACACTTTCTTGCTCAACACCATGAAACTGCGTCACGAGGCATAATGGTGAGGCCTTTGTAACTACACCAAAAATCATGGGTAGATTCGGATGGTCCCCCAAAGCAGAAGCAACCTTTGCTTCGTGGAGTAAATCTCTCCTTGCTCGTTCTTTATCCTCCGACGTTTCATTATGGGTCATTTGTTTGACAATAACTTCGATGCCTCGATAGCGCCCGAGAAAACATTGTCCAAAGCTTCCACTGCCAACTGGAGTTTTAGACAAGAATTCAATGTTTTCTGGCCTAAGTTCTTTGGGTTCAAATTTGGATCCATTGCTCGCTGTGGTTTTTTTTGCAATTAAAGAGGTTTGATGACGTTCCCGAGGTTTCTGAGGGACAATTACGTCGGCACCAACAGCCATTCGAATCATCTTCGAAGCTCTTGAGTAACCACGCGAGTCCACTTTCTTCTCCCCACTGCCTGGTTTAAGTGCGAGGAGACGGGGTTTCTTGACATTTTCTGGCTCTTGGTCCGAAGGACGCGGCTTCTTTTTCTCAGCCTCCGAAGTACATAGCACCAAGTCATTTGCTTCGCGGTTGAGTGACTGTTGTAGTTCACCATTTTTGTTCGTCGAATTTGTCATTTGCTTCACTTGTTTCCTCTTTCTCCATTCTTTTCTCTGCCTGTTTCTTTCTTCTGGAGTATTTTTTCGTGTTTTAATAACTCGCTCTTTTCGCTTTTCTTCATGTTCAAAATCCTTCACAAATTCCGCCATAATTACGAAACCTAACTGATCTATTTTGGCCAGATCGAAACACAAAGGAGCTCGTGATCGATGTAATAGTGTAAAACAAAGGCCTGCTGTCGTGCAGGAAATTCAATGCTCGTTTTAAACAACTTGATGACATGTGAAAGCC